GTTTTATATAATTAATAGTGTGATTTGAGCTGGTGTCAAGCAGCTAAAATGTCACATATCAATATGAGTGTCAAAACTGCCACCTGTTTTTTTTTCCCCATCACAATTAGTTTTTTCCAAACTGTCAGTGTCTGGTTATGTTTCTGTAAAAATGAGTTTACAGCTTACATTAACACAAGTCTTAGCCACATTCAGTGCCATTTATGATAGGAACCCAAACAGTAAGATGAATCCTTCTTTTGGAAAATTATCAGCTTTTCAGATTCAGAGGAATATCTCAGATATCAAATCTGATGCGCCAGGAGGCTTGTTAAACAAAACTATTTGGGCAAGCTCTTAATGAAATTAATCCTGGGCAGGTGACTGAATGAATCAATCAATTTTTTGCTAAATGTCAGATTCACAACCAAACACCTAAATTCTCCTGCAGTGATGTTGTCAATGTTCAGTGGCCACGCAAGAAAAAAAAAACCTTGTTATTTAATGAATAAATAACAGCATAGTTCCAGAAACATAAGTAACATAATCAGGGCATGTGCCAAAATTAATTTCACAATTCCTGTGCCAAATTAATGTGGAAGAAACCACACTGATTACTAACGCTGATGGTTTCATTTTACTGTGCTAAACACAGTGGACAGAAACAAGCACATCTGAGAAAACAGCTACTAGAAGTGAAATTTAATCTTGAAGAATCATTAATCACACTGTTTGTTTGAAAAGCTTTTAAATCAAGAAAATATGTTTGGTCAGGTTAATAGGTTAATAGGAAAACGTCATGGCATTCATGGTATAGTTCCATATTATGAAAACCTAAAAAATATATATAAGCTATATAAAGAATCACATTTTGAGAAACAGTTCAGACTTGTAATTAATTTAGAAAGAATCACTGTGACATGCAGAAATGTAACATGTGCTCAACAGTTATAAATGATGAAGATTAACATAGAATTGCTATTTATTGTAGGTTTCTTTTTCTTTTTTAATACCATGTTTCTTTATTTAGCTCCGACACTAACTGCTGCTGCAGCTATCCCATTTTCCCCACAGGGATCATTAAATTTTAATCTAACAGTCTCATACACAAAGCCATCCTCTGCTATTTTAGAAGCCTTCATCACTCCAACCATAATCACCCCTTCTATGTCACATTATATTTACATAATGTGATATTATTCCACCTTTGACTTCTCATTAGGGCCAAACAGTCACACTTGGGGAGATTTTACAGTGGGCTCATGTGACAAAAGAGGCCTTTAAACATTGTTCCATCCACTCATACATCGCTCACATGCTTTACAAGCATGGGTATTTGAAAAAAAAAGTGATAAACAAATGTGGAACAGCAGGTGTAGATTGAACCATCCAATAAACGGGGCATCTGAAAAAACTCTTACAGCTACAAGGTTAAGTCCCTGATTTAAACAAGTTCTATTATTTAAAAAAAAAGGCTTCTTTCTCTTTTTCCGACACGGCGTACTATCTCTTCTAAAATGCTACTCTGGGTTCAAGGACAGAGGACCTTTAAGAATGTTCCAGCTCTTTTCTCTAAGCAAAGAAAAATTCCAATTTCTATCAGCCACATTCTTCCTCTCCATTTTACTGAAGTGGAAATGAAAGACATAGAGGCCATGATGACAGACTTTCGAAAGCGTTTCATGTCTAACCTTCACAACAATATCTGAAAGAAAGTCCACGCTTTTCAACGATGAAGCGAGTTCTCCATTGATATATGTATCGACACTGTGCAGATTATTAAGTGTGCACAGAAATAATGTAAAGGGTTGAATCAGTGATACATGCCCAGGACAGTAGGCGTCTGTGTCCACTCACTTGCAATTAGCTATTTAACCCTGAGTTACAATTTTCCCTTAGGCTTAAAAATAAGAATAAGAAGCTTTTATTGTCATTGAGCCAGCGTCCAGGTAAAAGATTTTAGTACAACCCTTCAAAAAAATCAACAGACAACAACACAAGTATACAGGATTTGGGAAGACTGAGGACCACTTAGGGCCCAGGCTTGGCCTGCTTTCTAGTGCCTAATGCATTGAACATAAAACAGGTGATCGATTGGCAGCTACAAACGGACTCACTCCTGCTGAAACAAATTTTTTGAGGCTGCGTTGAGGAACATCTGGGCAAACTTCAGTTGAGCCGTTGGATTTAAATCTCAGGTCAATTCTAACACAGGTTCCTCACTGTTTGGACTTCAGCCGGCTCTAACAGCTTCACGTTTATGGGACCGCTATAGAGAATTTCTTTGAGTTAATATACTACTTCTGCCCCCATAGAAAGAATGTCTTGTCTGTGTGAGTGACAGCAGTGACAGAGGGAAGAAAGAGAAAAAAATAAAAAAAGAAGGGCTGAGGGAGCAGTGCGAGCCCATTTACACTTCAAGAGAGAAGCCAGAGAGGTGCTAGGGGCACGCAGAGCCTTGCAGAGCCAGTCTGACAAGAAACCACATTAAACATGCTCATCTCACCTCTAATCAGCACATGGAAATATCTGGTCTTAGGTGGGGAATTTGAAAAAATGAATTAATGAGTGCGCATACCGCAAACTACAATCATAGAACTCATGCGTCCGGACTGAGCTCCAGTGTTGCACAGAAAAGACATTTATAATCAGTGGTTGTTAGTGCCAACTAGTGTCTGGCAACCAGCATTGTTCTCATTAGGTTTCAAAGAGAAGACGGTCATTAAGATGCTACGTGTGTATCTCTAAAATACTATGTGGTGAGACAAAAGGTAGATTGGTAGCGCATTAGTCAATATGAGTTCGTAAAGCCACAATGACATCACCGCTTCAAGTGTCTATATGCATTTCAATCTAATTAGGAGAGAATGAATAGTGGAGATAGTGTTTTCCAACAAACATTTTGGGTTTAAAGAGTTTAAAGAGAGGGGAAGAAAAGTTGTTCAAAGGCTGATTTCTCTATACTGGAAATCAAAACTTCAAGAAAAAGAAGAAAAACTGAATAATCACAAAAAATAAAAACTAACCTAATAAAGGAAAAAATCTATTGGAATTGTGTTCAGTTAATATCTATTATAAAGTGTGAAAAAAACTGCTCACCTGTAGTGACCCTTGTGAAATATATATTTCCATTATAAAGTAAATCAACAAGATCAAAAAGGTCGAGTAAAATGCTGCTCAAATCAATCCAGTTATAATCTAGTTAAATCAAACAGTAATTAAATTAAATCCTGTTCATTACAATTAACATTAAATGCAGTTCGACCCAACTCATCATGATTATACTCACATACACTGTACAGCTATGCAAAATAATCCCCTTTTAACAGAGAGAGACCTCAGAAATCTGAATCAGGGAAGGTTTTAATTGGACGAGATGAAAAAAAAATCAAGATAAGCAAAACTGATGTAATAATAAATAACGATGAGTGACCAAGGGAAATTGTCTGATCAGTGTGTGATTGAGTGTCTCTATATTCAAATACATAGACAAAAATAAAAGTGGTTGTGATTAGATACCAAACTACAGAGCCCCTGCACTTGCCTAAACTGAGGAGGTGGTGTTCCTTTCGAATCACAGGTCAGGGTGGCCTCTTCTTCTATGGAATCGACGGGAATGAACAAGTCAGCTGGCTCCATTCTCCACCGTGGACCATGGTATGAGCCACTGTCCAGACAGTCTATCACAGTAGCAAAAACATCACTGACAG